AAAACGTACCATAATTTACAATAAATAATAACTTAAAATATCTACAAGACAACAAAAAAAGACTAATTTTTGTATTGCTTGTGTCACATAAATTAGGATTGGGATGATTTTAAAATTTTAATTTTGGTTATACATTATAAAATAGCCCAAAAATTGAATGATATAATTTTTTTAAAAATAACCGAATGAATCGTCCTATTGATAACCCTAATGTTACTTCTACTCTGTTTATTTTTACTTAAATTTACAAAGATATGTTTCATTTCTACTCTCAATCTTATCGCTACATTTATTTGCTATTTAAAATTGAAATTAAAAAGACAAATGAAAAATAAGTTTCTATATTAGCTCACTTATGAGCAAAATATATTATAACAATCTTTACTAATTTTATAACAATACATAAACTATAATCCCTCCGTCTCATATTAGATGGACACTTTCAACTTTACACGGTGATTAAGAAATCATCAATACATTGGAAGACTTCACCATTTTGCCCTTTGTTTATATCAATGCACATTGAAATGAGTTACAAAAAATACACATACAATATAGGAATGGTCATATTAATTGTAGGGGTAAAATGGAAAATAATTAATTCTATCCTAATTTAATAAGTGCTCAAATAATATGAAAAAAATATTTTTAGTAAGATTCTCATTTAATATGAGACGGAGAGAATAACAATACTGCCCGGGCTTTCTTTACTAGTATATATATAAAGCTAGATTAAAAAAAGTGATGTGGCACCTAGAAAACTATTTTATTTTTTTTAATTTTCTTCTTTCATTTTTTGCATTAATTATTTGTTTAATAATTTTAAAATATATTATATTTATTATATTCAATTATAATTCATGGGTTACAAAAAAAACCTCTATCTTTTTGCATTCTCCACTTAAATAACATGTCTTCTCAACTTCCTTCTATCTAATTCTTATGACTCAAACAATCTGTAAATAACAATCATATATGGAGTTGTTTGATTTTCATTTTCATGTTTTCCTTCTTCTTTTTTATTAGGGAAAAGAGTCTGAAAAATACTCTAACCTTGGTCGAAATCGATGTTATGATACCAAACTTTGGAAAGGACCTTTTACCCCCTGTATTATTTAATAGTGTATTTTAAAGGTATATATGTGCCTACGTGGACATCATAAATATTGCATCATTTTAAATAGTAATGTGTCCACGTGGGCACATATATACCTTTAAAATACACTATTAAATAGTACATGGGGTAAAAGGTCCTCCATAAAGTTTGGTATCGTAACAACAATTTCAGCCAAAGTTGGAGTATTTTTCAGACCCTTTTCCCTTTTTATTAATATATTTTTTCTCTTTTGTTTGAATTTTCTTCATTGATCATGTATTTAATAACTACTAAAAGAGAGAACATAGAAAAAGTGATGCGAAAATATGCATGGCCACCACATGTTCATGAAGATCATAGATATGTTTTACATAATTTCTTTTTGTGTCATAGTAGCCAAGCACGAGGTCATCAAGGTGAAGAGATTTTTTTATGACAGTGTCGGATTAGTTTTGTACAAGTTTGACAAATGACGAAGAAATTTAGTGGCGGTGAAAGTTTCATCAAGAGCGATGATCAGATTAGTTTGATGGAATTGAAGTTTGAATGATTTAGAATATAGAGAGATAGTACACTTATTGTTGCTTATTTTTAACAATTTCAATTAGTTATTTTTCAAATATAAGGTATGTATTCTCCAAGAACAATATTGATTGATAAAGTTTGGAGTGTTACATATATAATTCTTTTTTGGGCAAAAAACTTAAATATACAACCTAAAGTCTTCAATTACCCCAATATAGCAATACTTTTTTTTCAATTATATAGCAATTTTTTTTTTCAAAACTAGAATTTTTATTTAAAAAAAAACGTTTACCAAGTCAGCCACAAATATCATGTATCCCTTAAATTTCTCCAATTATTTTACCTTCCCTGATTTACTCTAATTTGTTAAATATTATTTCCCATAAAGAGAGGTTTCATACAAAAATAAAACTCCCCTTCTCTACTAAGATCGACAATCCAAAATGCATATGGTGTTTATTTTCGTGGTTGTATTTGATTTTTCACAACATATCGATTTTAATCGTTTTTGTAGTTATTCTTTTGGTTTATTTTGTCGATTTTGGTGGAATGTAAATTCATATGATTTGTTTGATGTTCTGGAGCATCAATATGCAGGTTTAATTATTAAATAAATATTAAAATTTACCAATTGTTTGTGGAATAATATTGAGTTTTTCACACCATCTGGATTTTTATTCTTTTGGGTATTGATTCGTTGTTTTATGTTAACGATTTTGTTGTAATTACAACAACTTCATATGATTTTTATTGTAATCTGATGTGTTGAAAGGCTTTTTTTTTTTTTGAAAATTTTAGGTTTAATTGATTAATGCAACGACTTAAAATAAAATCATAAATTGTGTGTTTAAATTGGTACGTTGAGTGGCGTATGTTAACAGATTGTATCAATAGTTACTTTTGATATGTGGTATGGTGTACACATACCAACTGCAAATAAGATTGTAGGCATGTATTTGTGTATTTAGTTGTATTATTTGGTATATAAAATACAATAAAAAAAATATTTTGGTACATTATTTGGTGTATTTTGTTTATCTGAATTGGTGTATATAATAAATTGAAAATTAGTAATATTTTGGTACATTTTTGGTGTATTTTAATTATCTGAACTAATGTATATAATAAATTGAAAAATTGGTAATATGTTGATTGGTATGTGATCTGGTACTTATGCTGGAATAGTTGATTCTATGAATTGGTGGTATGTGTTGGTGTATTTTTTGGTCTAAATTGTAATACCTTAAATGTCAGAATACTTATGATATGTTTATTGGTATAATAAATTATTTGGTACACCTATTAGTGTGAATTACTATAAGTATGCCAATTTATTATTAATACAGTAATTGGTGGAAAAGTTGGTCACTTACTAGAGTGTATCAAAAACTTAGTTGTGTGCCATCAATCGGCGTCAATGTAACTACCAAGATGTTTAAATATATGGATGTAGTAAATGCATTCTGCAAAATTTAGCAAATTATTAGTTCTTCAAACGATAAGACGGTTGTAAAAGAAGAGCTAATTTAGTAAATTTTGTTCTTCAAACGATAAGAACAGAGAAAGATGAAAGTTTAGATTCTGATAAGAAGAAGATGGATGGTTAGGCGTTAGAAATTAAGTTTTAACTTGGAACTATGAATCACATAGATAAGTACACCATCTTTGTTGAAAACATGAAAGGTTTTACCAAAAAAGGAAGCAAATAATTAAGATCCCAATAAAACAGTCATTAACCCATGAAAAGTAAATATATCATAAAGTAATAAACATGTATACATGGGACTGTTTAGGAGAGATAAAGTTGATAATATTAAATACCCTGATTATGCTCCACATAAAAAGACACGTAATTAAAAGACATCAAATAGTAAACCGAAAAGGAGAGAGAAAATCGAAAGAAAAAATACATTTAAATAAAAAATTATTATTATTTTGTTATCTATGTAATTTAAAAACTCTTTATGTAATTATATATAAATATATTGATTTTAGGTTAATTAAAGTCATAAATTGTATACTTCTATAATTTTCATTTCTTTTTTATATAGAGTAAATGTTAACTTCGTCTTCTTTTAAAATAATGTGTTGATTTTTCTGGGGGGAAAATGGCGATTCTTAAAAGTTTATCTATGAATAGTGTGGTATTTTCTCTCTTTACTTTGGTGATTTTTTCTTTCTTTTTCATTCTACTTATTATTGAACTTATTATAAAAATAAATGTCTCAATAACTTTAATTTATTTTTGATTGTCTTATCATTTTCTATGATTAATATTCATTATTTTGTGTCATAATGTACAAATGTCTAAATATCAAAGTCACATTCTTAATCCTCTTAATTACAATGACTCTTCATTCTTAGAAGTTTGTATTTTGAATGTAGTATTTATTTGAAATATGAAATATACTCTTATTTTTGCATATAAGCTAAGCATAACTAGAAAGAATTAGGAATTTGTGCATGCCATTTTTTCAAATTTTTCCTGCATAGCTAATCCTCCTTTTTGTTCTTTTTTTGTGTATTTTTAAATGTATCTTCTTTCTTACCTTATTTTGTTTTCTAATTTTAATAATAAAAAAATTATTGTTTAGTAATTTTGATATGATAATTCTTTAGGTTGGTGAACAGACGAATACTAGAAAGTAAGTAGTGATGAAGTTATAACAAAGTGGAGAAAGAAGTCCAAATTAAAAAAATATTGATGTAAAAAACTAATAATTTCAATTAAAGAATACGTACCTTATAGATAACTTGGAATAATAATTGTTACAAAATATAGATATATTTAATTGATTTTTCATAGCTTATCTTTTATGATTTTTAAAGTAAATTAATTGTATCAGTATAAAACTTTATTTTAATTCTTTACATACACTAGTATAATATATATTTAAAAATTATTGATTTTAATATTAGCACATCAAAAACACTATAGGTGGAACAAATACTGCATATATGAATGAAGTTACTAGTGAGGAAAAAAAGAAATTAATCAACTTTATTGCATACATATGTTCTAGTGTCCCTAATTAAAGTGAGATCATAAATTCTGAAGTATAGTTTATACAATGTAAATTTTAGCGAGGTAAATTAAACCAACTGGCCTAGGTTGATGATATCATAACTTATAAGATTCTTCCATGTGCAATATTACGGCAATTTTTAACCTTTTGCTCTCGTCCATTTTTTCCAAGACTTACTTATAAATAAGTTCTGAGATGTAGCAAGATACTGAACTGAGAAACGAAAACAAACATACAAAAACTTTAAGCTCTCAAAAATGGTGCAGCTGGGAAATATTCTGTTACGATATAGCGTTATGATTTTCATGTTACATGTTATTATTTGGTCATCAAATAATTATAAGTTGATCGTCATGGCAGATGTACCAGCTATTTTTGTATTTGGCGATTCAACCGTAGATGTTGGAACTAATAATTATTTACATGGAAGTCTTGCTACAGCTAACAATCCTTACTACGGAATTGATTATCCACACCACGTTGCTACAGGAAGATTTAGCAATGGCTATAACCCAGCAGATTTCATCGGTACCTACGTATATTCAATAAATATAATGTCCCGTGTCAATATAATTATATTCACCTGTGTTTGTGATCTTATTAGATTTTTAAAACAAGGCTTAGATATAGTTATTACTATTATACATCGATATACTTTAGAATTAGACTATATATCTAACAAGGAAATTAATGCATGATGATTGTTTAGCGAGGCATTTGGGTGATTATACAGAAAGCCCGCCAGCGTTTTTAGCCTTAGTTCAGAAACAGTCAACATTCAAGAGTGGCATACTTCGTGGTGTCAACTTTGCATCAGCAGGATCTGGCATTCTTGATGATACTGGAAATCAAGGATTTGTGAGATCTCAAAATTACTCTTAATATATACTCTCTTTTTGTCTCAATTTATGTGACAGTACATAAATTGAGACAAAGATATAGTATTCTTGTACAGATGTATTTATATAATTAAATGCTGATGATAGTTGATTAATTTAATAATCTATATTGTTGCAGCATAATGTTACATCACTTACTCGACAAATAGAACAATTCCAAACAGTATGTGGGAACATTACACAAATATTGGGAGATGTGAAAGGCTCAAAACTGATTGCAAACGCGTTCTACTTTCTAAGTGTGGGAAGCAATGATTTCTTCGATCAATTTCGTTTCAATTACAATATATCTACACCTGAACTCATCGCTGATCTCAGCGATACTTTTACCATTCACTTACAGGTTACAATATTCGTTCCTATCTAGATCTCAATTTAACTAGAGCTAGTATTATAAGGTTCTGTTTCCTTGTACAAATAAATGAAAAGTTGAAAGATTCTTTTTTAAAATGCAGAATTTATATAATCTAGGTGCAAGGAAATTTGGAATTTGTGGGATTCCAACGATTGGATGTCTTCCGGGTATACGTGCTGTAACACCTGGTGGTGCCTGTAACGAGACACTTAATGGTTATGCTCAAATATTTTTTAACACAACACTCAGTTTGCTGCAAGATTTCAGCTCAGCAAATCCAGGAATGAACTTTTCACTTGGAAATTATTTCTTGATGACCACGGGTGTTATTGATAATCCAGTTGCATCAGGTAAATATTATAAAGATTAGGCATGAATGGATTGATATTTGAAATTAATTAGTTGAATAATTGTATAGGTTTCGTAGAAGTTGAAGCAGCATGCTGTGGTACGGGACCTTACAAAGGAGGCTATAAATGTACTCAAAATTCTGATGTTTGCAAAAAGCGCGATGAATACTTGTTCTGGGATTGGTTTCACCCAACTCAGAAAGCATCTGAAATGGCTGCTTTGTCTCTTCTTTATGCAACTGGGCAGGAATTTGTGACGCCCATCAACTTCACTACATTGGCAACTATTCAACACTGAAACTATGAACTATATTAAATGTGACCAAAAACAATGAAATAAAACTGCTATGAGGGGGTAACAGCTAGTTAATTTGAACGGAACGTTCATCAATTATCAATAAAATTGATTATGGTCTAATTAAAAGGGGGTTATATTATTTTGTTCCTCTTTGTAAAAATAATACATGGCCTTTTGTCTGATATTGTAATTAAAAACCATTGTTACTTCCGATATATATTTGGTCTGTTTTATCGCTTTCCTGCTTAGTTTTCTTGTTAAAAAAGAATCCTTGTTCTATGGACCATGTGTTCTACTGCTAAGAAACCAATATGTCAAATATTATGAAGAACTAAATTAATACTTTATAACATTTATTTGGTGCCTTTTATGGTGCTATTTGCAGATGCTAAATGAACATTTGAAATACTAGTGAAATATGAAAAAGATTGATGAGAGGAATAGTATTGCAAGTGAAATACTCCCTTTGTGTCCCAATAATATGAGAAATAAAAACTTTTGAAACTTGTGTGGTCTAAAATAAATTTTACTAGTAAGAATTTTTTTAGGTATAAATTAGGCATAATGCTCTTTAACTTAGCCTTAACACTTACATTTATTTCCTTCAACTTTGAGTATGCAAGTAGACACTTGAATATATAGATATGAACATCCTACATGCATGCGAATTTGAGTCCTACATGTATTATGTCACATAGGGTGTTCATGTGTCTACTTGTTCAACTTTATACTAGCTTAAATGCACACTCAAAGTTGAAGGGCATAACTATGAGATAAGATCAAATTAAATGACACATTTATGCGTGTATTATACCTATAGATTATATGTTAATTTAAATGAGAATATATAGTGTCTTTTTTTGGGTTATAAACTAAAAAGAAAAGGGGAAGCAGAATATATTTATTCGCAAAACTTACCTAATATAACTTGTTTGGTCGGTGAACAAGTTACCTTTGAATTATAATACGGAAACTGTCGTCCTTCTCCCTTAATGATACCAACACAATACTAAATCAATATCAGTAAATTAATTGGGGATATATAGTGTAACTATTTCGTGGGGTATAAATATAAAGGTGTATATGTTTATAATTATTTTGCTTTTATAGAATATTTACTTAGTTTCCCCTCAATAATACAAAAATAGAATAAATCAAATTTATTTTGGTTTGATTGCGATTAACATTTTCATCAAATCAAAATCCAAAAAACCAAATTTCTCAAATTGAACCGACCGAATGCCTACCTTATAAGTGTGGGAACTGGGAAGCAATGATTTTTCTTCAACCAATTTCGTTTGAACTGCAATACATTTGCATCAGAACTCATAACTAATCTCACCAATAACTTTACCAATCACTTACAGGTTACACAATATTCATTCCTATCTCTCAATTCTTACATCAATCTTATTTTTCCTATCAAGCTAGTTAGCGTTTTACGAGTTTCACTTGAAAAATAATAATTGAATGCAATCTCTTCAGACGTCTTAATTTAATAAAAACAAATAGAGCATGACTTCTCTTACCTACGGAAAGAAGTCATTTTCTAAAGGGGAAAGAACACTTGTACTCCCCAAATACAAATATCATCATAATATATATCTATTCCAATGGTACGAAGGATGAAGAAGGGGCAGTTAGGTAAATAGTTTAGGTTATAGGTCTAATCAAGGTAAATATATTGGGTTTAGTTCAATTTAGGTAAATACTGTTATCTCCTGTATTCAGATTAGCAAACTAGAAATAATAAAAGATGAAAAGAAAAACACAAAGAACTATCCGAGTCCACAGAACTCACTGTGTGTCCTTAAGAAATTTAATCCCCTCAAGTACCCGAGGTTGCAGATTAATTCCTCCCAAGATAAAATGGATTAACCATTAAAGAAGTAGCGGTACCTCAAACTTCGATAATTTCAACGAACTCAAAATGACAGCAACAAATCACACACAGACACGATCGATCGATTTTGTTTCGTAAGAAATGTATGCAAAAGAAGGGAAGAATTTGATACCGAAAAATGAGAGAAAACATCTCTACTTATAGCCAACAAAGGGTAAAGGTCACAACTCTTTGGAAAGAAGACAACCTTTCAGAAAGGTCACAACACTTTGGAAAAGGCATAACCTTTCAAACGGTCATAATCCTTTAGAAAGGACACAACCTTTCATAAAGTTCACAACCTTTCAACATAGTCACAACTCTTCAGGAGAGTCACAACCCTTTATTTCCTGTTCACACCTTTAAAACCCAACAAATACTTTGTTTAAAGAGGTAAATTTGTGTAGTTTTCCTTCTCTAAAGTTCTACCGTCTACGCAGTAAATAGTTTAGGTCATAGGTCTAATTAAGGTAAATATATTGGGCTGGATCCAATTTAGGTAAATACTTTTGCTTAAAGAGTCAATTTGTGTAGTTTTCACTTTTCTAAAGTTCTTAACTTAATATAACTTATTTTTAAGGATGCCTGTATCCTCATCAATTTAGGTCCTACTATAGACAGAGCCCTAAAGCTACTTACTATACTCTTCACTGAATTCCTACGCGGAGAGCAGCCGATCATGGACAGTGGAAGTGTCACCCCCTGGGCCGATCTTCCTAAAGAACTTGTCGAGAAGATCGACAGTTGCCCCGGTAGCACACAAATTGACGTCCTTTGCCTTCGTTCAGTCTGCACAACATGGCGTTCAGCAATTCCTCCTTTCAAAAACTTTCCTTCTTTACCTCTCAAATTGCAAGTCCCCATCATCCCCAACGACACGGACACTTTTGGAAGCAATCCTGAATTTTATTTAATCGATAGCACAGTTTATCTCATTCAACCCATTGATACTAATAAGCCTTCGTCTTCGTCTTCTAGATCTGGCTGGTTGGTCAAGGTTATGCAAACAGCAGATGGAAAATTGCGGGTTCTGAATCCACTATGCCACAAAGCAATGGACGTTACGCCAGAGGATGTGCCTAATAAGGTATTGAATCTACTAGCTAGACTTCCGCGTTTCTCAAGTTTGCAAATCTTATAGTGTGCAATACTTCGAGTTTCCCAGCTAATCACGATGTAGGTGATCTTGTTAGTAAAATTTTGCTAGTTTCTACCCACAATTGTTTTTCTCTAATGGCAATTCATCATAATAAGGGTGAGTTTTGTCACTTTAAGTCAGGGGACGAGAAATGGACTACGTTAAGAGATGACAGTTGCAAGTCAATTCTCGACATCATTGTGTATAAAGGGAATTTTTATGCTGTCGATCTAGATGGTGAGACCATAAAATTTGATTACTCGCTTAATGAGACCAAGGTCGCTTCCAGGTTGCACAATATGAGGGTTGCTGTTAGACGTATGAAGAAGAACGACTTGTGGAATCAAGTGGTCAATTGTTTCTTGTTGATATGAGTTCATATAACTCTGATCCCAATGATGTCGATAGGATTAGAATATATTGGCTAGATAAACAAAAGCATGAGTGGACTCGTGTGTATAAATTGGTTGATCGTATTTTCTTTGTTGGTGACGACTGTTGTTTCTCAGTTTCTCAAAAGACTTTGGTGATCAGTGCCGAGGGAATTGCATTTATTATACAAATGGATCTGCATATATTAACATGTTGCGGAAGTATGATAGTAAGTTTTGGGTTAATTGGAATAATAACGTCATATACATAGTTTTGATGACTATCGTAGCATCAATAATTTTAGTCAAATATCTTTTGGCTATCCTATAGGTAGTCATTGTAGCGTGAGTTATTATAGAACATCAGGTGATATTAGTGCAGAACTGGTACATAAATATGAAGGATTACAGGGTCATAACACGGGTGTGCTTACTGCTGTTAAACCTGGTTATACCACTGTTATTCTACCTTGAATATGCAGATATTTTTCTTGCCACCACCATCTTGGCTTAATCAGAAATCATACAGGAAGGTTCTCAAAAAAAGAAACAAACAAAAAAGAAAAAAAGGAAGTTGCTGAGTCGTGATTATTTTATTTACATACAAGGAAGAGGCAGAAGGATTAATTCATGAAGAGACATATCGATGCAGGTCCTACTCCAATTAATCTTTGTCATTTTACTTTAATTTATGTTTGACTTCAATTTGATTCTTGTGTTACTACTGTCTTTGATTTGGTGGTAATCATTCTACTATGCGCAGACCACAAGTGTCAATTTTTACAAACATTTTAACATGTATTTTTTCATTATATTGATATGAAAAAAAAATTGATTAATTTTTTAATATCTAAAATTATATTTTAAAATATCAAATATAATTTAATATATCTTTAAAAATTAGTCAAATTAACTCTCGAAAAATGTCACACAACTAAAAAGAAACTAAGGGAGTAAAATGAATAATTAATAGGCTAATAGCCCAAACTAATCTATTAACTGAGGGAGTAAAATGAATAATTAATAGGCTAATAGCCCAAACTAATCTATTTATTGCCTTCGACCTAATGTCAAGCTTTTAAATTATCTTTTTTAACAAATATTTTTTTCAAAAAGTACTTTTCACTTTTGGTGAAAAATTAGTGTATCTATAACTAATTATTTTTAAAAAAATATATATTTTTAAACAACAATTAGTATTTGATGATGAGTTTTTAAAAAATATGGATGTACAAATTTTAACCGATCAGGATAAGATTAATTTGATTAGTAAATGGATTATGAAGCAGCAAATTCTTATTTGGACCAAATATTCATAATATATATATATAAAATTATAATTAAATATTAAAACTCTATGTACAAATAAATATCATACTGAATTAGATATATCATGATTGTTTCCATTAAGTAATTTTATCATTTATAAGGCATAATATATAAATGTGTTATTCAATTTGTCCTCATTTTACATTTATGTTTTGTCTATGCATAAATAGACACTTAAACTTGTATAAAGTTGAAAAAATAAAAGCATGAGTCCGACAAAACATAATATACATAGATCACTACGATGCATCATGTGTGGAATACATGTGTTTATTTAACTTTATACAAGTTTAAATGTCTTTGAAGGACATAAATGCAAGATGAGACCTATTTGTCTTTTTTTAAATAAAGCACAAACGTACTGCCTTTGGAGTGCACATAGTAAAGAAATCTATACTCTATTGGCCAAACGTTTAGTAGATTATTTCAAAAAATGTTTTTCTAAAAATAGTTTGGAAAAAACAATTCACATAGAAAAAATAATTTATACTCTATTGGCCAAACGTTTAATAGATTATTTCGAAAAAATGTTTTTCTAAAAATAGTTTTGAAAAAACAATTTGATGATTTATGTTAGACTAAACTTTTTAAAAATAATGTATTTTCTCAAAAAAAAAAATTAAAAAAATTATAACTTTGGGAAACAGTTTTGTTACCCACAGATCAAAAGTTTGGCTGGAAGCGGAGATACTCCCTCCGTCCCTTTTTAGTTGTCCACTTTAGAAATGGCACACAGATTAAGACAACAATGATTAGCACAGTGAAGTTACAATTTTACCCTTATGACAACTTTTCACTTCAAAATTACAATCACTTATTTGAATTCAAGTGAAATAAATTGGAGGGAAACAACATACACTTTTACAATTTTCAAGAAGTGTAAATAATGGTATAATAGGAAAAAATTTGTTGTCCTTTCTTGATTTGTCAAAATAGACAACTAAATAGGGACAACTAAAAAAGGAAATATGGACAAGTAAATAGGGACGGAGGGAGTAGTAGACAAAGAAGAAAAAGGACGTATTTTCCAAAATTACCAGCTGGATATAAATTTATTGCCAAAATAATAACGGATGCGCAGAATCCGCGCTCGGTTGACAACTGTTATAGTGGATCCCAAGCGGTTCACGGTTTCTCTCCGCCTGCCCCAAAATATATAGCAGCAATACTAGGGCTTTAATTTATCATCCAAGCTCTGATGGAGCAGCAAACTGTGGGCAGTGGAAGGTACGTTCCCTGGTCTGATATTCCGAAAGAACTCGCCGAGAGGATCGGTAGTTGCCTGGACACTCAAATTGACGTTCTTCACTTCCGTTCTGTCTGCACAACATGGCGTTCCTCACTTGCTCCTTTCAAAACCGTTCCTCATTTTCCTGTTGAAATCCCCTTCCCTCTCGATGACCGTAACATTTATAAAGGGAGGCCTGGTTACTATCTCATCGAAAGCACTGTTTACGTTTTACAACCACTTGACGGAGATTCAATTGATTCGCCTTGTAAAGGATGGTTGATCCAGGTTATAAAAACAGCAGATGGAAAATTGAAGGTTTTGAATCCACTGACAGGCAGGGAAATACAGAATCATATGCCTAAGGTATTGAATTTACTGGACTTTCGCGTTTCTCACGTTTGCAAATCTTATCATGTGCAGTACTACATTCCCTCGAAACCTTTGTTCAGTGGTTATGATGTCGGTTATGTTAGGAAAATTTTGCTTCTTATGAACCACAATGCAGGGAGTGAGAAGGATAGTTTTTCTTTAATGGCCATTGATCGTGATAATCGGTTATGTTATTTGAAGTCTGGGAATGACAAGTGGACTAAGATAAAAAATTATAGTTCTTACATTGATGATATCATTGTGTATAAGGGGAATTTTCATGCTGTTGATCGATATGGTGAGACCATGAAATTTGATTCCTCGTTTAATGAGACGACGGTGGCTTCCAGATTTTATGGTGAGACCATGAAATTTGATTCCTCGTTTAATGAGACGGTGGCTTCCAGATTTTCCGGTGGTGGTAAGAGGAAGAAACGACTGGTGGAATCAGGAGGGCAGTTGTTTTTGGTTGATTATAGTTCAGATTTCGGTAAGGATGCCAGCCGTGAAATTAAAATTTACCGATTGGATGAAAAACAATATGAGTGGATTGAAGTGCATACTTTGGGTGATCGAATTTTCTTTGCTGTTAATGACTGTTGCTTCTCTGTTTCGTCGCGTGATTTTGGTGATAAGTACGGTAGAGGAAACTGCATTTACTATGTAAAGGGGTCGATGTATTTTGACGATGAAGACAGTGACGATGATTTTGGTATGTGTGGTTGTTGTTGCCCTCTTGATGATGATGATGTGATTAGCTACCCTATTAGCAATTATGATGACAAGACTAATGAATCTGGTAGCAAATCAGGTGGTGGTGGTGTGATCAGCACCAGTATTAGCAATGGTGATCACAGGATTAATGCTTCTACTAGCAAATCAGGTGGTGTTAGAGAGGAACAAGCGGTAGATAGATACAAAGGAGTATTTGATGATAACACCTGTGTGTTTACCATAGAAGATGGTAAACTTGGATCGCTGTTATCATTCCTTGATTATGCAGAAATTTTATGGCCACCGCCATCTTGGCTTAACGTTGAGGATCAGCCTCATCCACATGTTCATGTAAGTCTTCAAAGTTGTTCCATTTTTTAGAAGTGTTTGGCTAACTTGTCCATAAAATGCAAATCTTCTCAATTACAGGAAATTGCAGAGTCGTTATTATCTATAAATAAACAAGGATGAGACAGCAAGCGAGATCAAGTCATGAGGAAGAGATGCAGGAATCCATTTGCTCTCTGCTCTTTCTAATTTGTCGTTTCACCTCTAATTTGCTTTTGCTTCCTTTGTCTTAGTTAATGGTTAATGAACAGAACATTTTAGAAACTTTGTTTGGTATTGCTTTTGCTTCTTTTGTGTTAATTAATGGCTAGAGTTTGAAAATTTACATAGCTATAGTTTTAATGACTAAATTGATTTGCGTTTGTATATTTTTATTTTCTTGATTGATTATACAAATTGTTTATTAAGTTCTCTTAAATAATGCAACAATTTTAGTTACAAAAAGGAAAAAGATCCCTTAATTCATTGTTATTATATTTAATTAGAATTCGTTACCTAATATGACATTTCATCTTTTTGACAAAAAAAAATATGACTCATTGTATATGAATAATTAAATCGAGTTTACAAAAAAATTGTAGTTAAAGTATATCCGTTTGTATAAATAATATGATGTATAGCAGTTTGTATATGTTTATGAGTAAATTGTATATCAAAATCTCAATGAGGAAAAAAACCTAATAGTTGGAGATTGAAACTGTTATTGCTTTTGCTTCTTTTGTGTTATAGTAATAGGACATACTATAGATTAGTGGCTATTAGTAATCTATAGTCTGTCTTATTTATAATAGCCAAATTACAATGGCAATACTTCAATTATTGAAGTACGTACAATGGAAAATATTGAAATAACAAGTAACTAAAGATCGAGATAAGAATGAGCTTGAAAAACTTAGAGTTTACAAAGAGATCAGAGGATTATACAATTTCTTTCACAAACTCATACCGCTTCTTCCTCCACAGCTCAGACACACAAGTGCAAGCCCCAACTTAATCAGTTTCCGTGCAGCAC